TCGATATACAGGGTGTCAAAATTAAAATTTAAAAATGATTTTTATGGTAACTCCGGTGATTCTAGAGATATTTATTTGAAATTTAGCACATATTTTGATCTTAAGTTGGTACACTTTTTTTATAAGTTTGGTTAAAACACAAACGGGGGGGGGGGGGGGGTTGCAGGACCCATGGACAGCCTAAAGTGCTCTTTACCTTGTACAATTCGTTTCTTTAACTGTTGTTTTAGTTAGTATTGGTACCCTATAAAAAAATTAAAGTCTAACGTCTAATATCTCGTAAGCCAGGTTGCTAATCAAAATCTTATAAGAGTGAAAAAATAGAATAAAACAAGAAAATATTTGGAAGGCATAAGCGTAGTCAAAAAGAATAGGGCGTCAATGGGTACTGCAATCCCCCCCCTCTGTTCGCGCTTTGATATTTTAAAACAAAATTACACAAAAAGTGTGCTGACAAGATCAAAATATACAGGGTGGTCCAGATTTTAATAGACAAACTTCGGGAAAATATTGAACAACAAAAATTAACATCAGTTTGTTCTGTGAACATAGGCACAGGAAGCCACCGTTTATGAGATACAGGGCATTGAAATTAACAAAAATAAAACAATTTTTTTAAATATCTGGAAAATCTCTTCATCAAATTTGGTACACATTCTTTTTCAAATATTTCTCCTAGTTCTGTATGTAGACAGTTCAAATTCAAAAACCAGTGGCGGAGGAAAGAGGATATCGTTTCCTTATTTAAAGTAAAACTTCTACGCCACTGAATTAATTGGTAATATGAATACCTTTTATAACGGTCTGAAACATTTCGGACTGTATGCATACAGAACTAGGAGAATTATTTGAAAAANCTCATAGAAGAAGCCGTGGATCTCTTGAACCTCAATTTTGCACCTACTGTACCGAACGCCGCCCCCAAGCGGTCCCCCAGCTCAAATTTTGATCTTCTTAGCGGATTGAACAACACACCAAACGAAAACTTCGGTGGTTTCGATGCCGGAGCGCCTACTGCCGATCAGAACACTTCCAAACCCAACAATTTATTCGATCCCTTCGCATCGTTGGGTGGGGGTACTAGTAACGACTTATTAGGTGGCTGGAGTAACTTTACTACCCCTACGGCCAATACCTATACTCAGAATAACGCTACGGAGCAAACCGAACAGAAACAAACCGACCCCTTTGCCGATCTGGGTAGGTATACAAACAATTTTATTTGATAATTTTTCGAGGGATTGGTGAACTATTGTTCAATCCTCTAAAATCAAAAATTTGCTAGATATCGAGAATTATGTTAAATTTGTTTCGTGTTTTTAAAAAATTTGTTTTTCGTGGTTAGACAGACACTATCAAAGTGCAGTGACTAAATTTTCGTGTGCACTCCGGTTTTACAAATGATTGTCACAACTGCCATCTACACTTATAAAAATAAAAAAAAAAACAGTTGTATAACAAGTAGAACCCTTAAAATGCCTCAGTTTTAAGTTTATCAGTTCATCTAAGCTTTGTCAGGGGCCATAGACATTAAGAATTGCAAACTAAACACAGTGGTTTAAAAAATAGAAACATATTTTTATAGAAAATATTAAATAATTTCCATCCAGTTGGTTTAAAAAAAATCTATTCAAAATTAATATATTTTAGATGGGGAACACGTACTATTTATTACCCCTAAAAAACTGACTCCCACTTACACCCTATATACAGGATGTTACAAACCACATATTCTTAACTGCATATTCTTTGGACTAAAATAATGAGACTTTTTTTATGTTACTTTCCATTTCGGAGCCCCATTTTCGATATACAGGGTGTCAAAATTAAAATTTAAAAATGATTTTTATGGTAACTCCGGTGATTCTAGAGATATTTATTTGAAATTTAGCACATATTTAGTTAGTATTGGTACCCTATAAAAAAATTAAAGTCTAACGTCTAATATCTCGTAAGCCAGGTTGCTAATCAAAATCTTATAAAAGTGAAAAAATAGAATAAAACAACGCTTTATCTAAAGAAAATATTCCGAAGGCATAAGCGTAGTCAAAAAGAATAGGGCGTCAATGGGTACTGCATTCCCCCCCTCTGTTCGCGCTATGATATTTTAAACCAAAATTACACAAAAAGTGTGCTGACAAGATCAAAATATACAGGGTGGTCCAGATTTTAATAGACAAACTTCGGGAAAGTACTAAACAACAAAAATTAACATCAGTTTGCTCTATGAACGTAGGCACAGGAAGCCACCGTTTATGAGATACAGGGCGTTGAAATTAACAAAAATAAAACAATTTTTTGAAATATCTGGAAAACCTCTTCATCAAATTTGGTACACATTCTTTTTCAAATATTTCTCCTAGTTCTGTGTGTAGATAGTCCAAATTCAAAAACCAGTGGCGGAGAAACAAGGATATCGTTTCCTTATTTAAAGTAAAACTTCTACGCCACTGAATTAATTGGTAATATGAATACATTTTATAACGGTCTGAAACATTTCGGACTGTATGCATACAGAACTAGGAGAAATATTTGAAAAAAAATGTGTATCAAATTTGAATAAATTTAATGAAGTGGTTTTCCAGATATTTAAAAAAACTTGTTTTATTTTTGATAATTTTAATGCCCTGTATCTCATAAACGGTGGTTTTCTGCGCCTATGTTCACAGAGCAAAGTGATGTTAATTTTTGTTGATTAGTACTTTCCCGAAGTGCGTCTATTAAAATCTGTGTTGGGATTATGGGTAGAACTAAAACACTTTAATAATTAAAAGATATTGTTTCATCACTTATTCAGATAGCACATCTATTCTGTATCAAATCAGATTAAAAACTAAAAGTCTCTCTTAAGCTTAGTGGTACAATATGCCTCCGTATGTTTATAAGCATGTTAATTTATGAGTAAGGGCCGTTGGGCTTGAGAAATATAAACAGATTAAAAGTAGGCATTAGTATCTAAGGATGGGAATGTTTTTGTTTACGTAACTTGAGTATCTTTCAACAATCTGGACCACCCTGTATGCTAAATTTCAAATAAATATCTACAATCGCCGAAGTTATCAATAAAAATGATTTTAAATTTTAATTTTGACACCCTGTCTTTTGAAAAGTGGCATAAGAAATTATTTATTATTATTTTAGTCCAAAGAAAATGTGGTTAACTGCTTGACCTACTATAGGGTGTAAGAATAACGCTTATTTGCAACTCGATACAAATGTATTAAAAATGTTTCTCTATTAGCTAATTTAGGAGGTGGCTTAAATTTCGGATCTCAACGCACCAACTTTCCGCCCTCCACAACCCCAACTAGCGGCAGCCAAACACCTAACAGGGTACCGCCTACGACTCCCCAACATATTCCTTCGGCGGCGACCACTCCGAAACATCAAGCTAAATCGCCCGTCGGTCCCGATTACAGTAGATCTCATTTTGATACTCTGAATAAAAACCAACAGCCAGCCGAACAGAAAGCCAAACCGAAAAGCGATGACATTTTTGGTGACTTGTTGGGCTCCCAAGGGTATACGTTTACGGGGAAAAAGGACAGCGCTCCCAGAACGATAAACGCTATGAGGAAGGAGGAAATGGCGGTTTACACGGATCCTGAGAAGCTGAAGGTTATAGAATGGGTTAGTAGCGNGCACAATTCAATTTGTTTATAAGGGAGGCTCCAAAAGTTATGAACTTTAAGCCTCTGTACAGGCGTTAATTTTCAACCAAACATGATTCTGAAAGCGTCATTGTAATTTTAAAGACATAATTAAGCGAACATTCTCAAATTGTGCGTTTTTCGCTTATAAACAATTTGAATAACATTGTTACTATTGAAAAATGTGGAAAATTAACGACTCACGAGCCCTTTAAAGAGAAGGTACTCGCTATGTAAATTGTCCGGCGGCCGCGGCGTGATGGTGGGGGAAGCTCGTCCAAGCGGTTGCGCGCGCGAGAAAAGTTAATTCCAAAGTTCAAATTGAAATTTTGCAATATCTCGGCTTCTATCCATCGTAGAAACTTATTTTTTTTTAATGGGTAGCTCGACGAAAAAAAGAAGTTTCTACGATGAATAAAAGCCGAAAAATTGCAAAATTTTACAGCGGGCATTTTATTTAGCAAGTACCATCTTTTTAAAGGGCTCATAAGTCCTTAATTTTCCACATTTTTCAATGCAATTCACGGGAAATCGTAGTTTACATCGTAAACTTTATTTTGCGAAAAATTCAAGTCTTAATGTTTACAAACAATTGCGCTACGATTAAAAAAATATTCTTATCTTCTACGCTTTTAGAATCATGTTTGGTTGAAAATTAACGCCTGAACAGAGGCTTAAAGTTAATATCTTTTGGAGCCTCCGTTATAAACAAATAGAATTGTGCGAAAACTATTCCACCTACAGCGCCCACGTTTGTCACACTTTTGAATTATGACAAAACCCTCAACTTGTCATAGGTTTAATAATTTTAACAATAAATGCGATAGTTGTAAACAAATTAAAAAATTGACGCTTTTCTTGTTTTTTGCAATAACTTTTTTGTTTATTAACCGATTTTAATTTAACAAGT